CGATGCCCTGGGCTCGGCAAGCTTGCCGGTGACCTCTGCGACCTTGGCGCCCAGTTTGCCTATGGGCACGGTGGGGAGCTTGGGCGATGATGGGACGCAGAGCAATGCCGGAGTGGAGACACGAGACAGCAGAGACGGCGGGGGGGGGGGTGAGTTCGGCCGTCGGAGACCGTGGCTCTTTTTTTTGTGGAGGGTCATCGTGGTGGTGGTTGCCTCCAGCATCCTCCAGTCGTCCCAGTCGATGGATTTTAAACATTATGGCTCTTAATATTGAGTTTGGAACAAGTTGTGGATGGAGGATGCCACAAGATCCACAAGGACACAAGATCAGGGAAGAATCATGGAGACACACTAGGTTTTGAGCGCTTCGTCCGATGCTCCTTGGGGCACCTGAACCTGAAGCCCGGGTGAAAGTGCGAAGACTTGCGACATTGCAAAAACACCATGCTATGTTTCGTTTGGGAACTAGCCCATCTTGCCCATGACTCTGATCTTTCAGCCTGCTTTTTTTCAGCACTGGCTTTCGATTTTGATGGTTGATAATTAGGCGGATGCGGGCTGGGTGCCTACACCTGGCGGAAAACCCGGTTTACCCCGCCGCTGGCGGAAGCGGCTTCTGACCCGTTGGCGGCCTCTCAGGAAGCTACAGACCTACCGCTCCCTCCATAGCAACCATAGCACTCCGCTTCCAGTGGCTCAGTGGTGAAGTTTTGGGGCTTCGTTTTTGTGGAATCTTTGGTAGGTGGCCCCAAAAAAGTATCTATAATTATATATAAACAAGTGTGCGTGTTTGTATGGATTTGTTGTGTGTGTGTGTGTCGTGATTGTTTGATTATATGAGGTGACTATTTCGGAGGTGGTGTTCGTTTTTCCTCAGCTTGTTGCTTTGCTGTGACACTTGCTAGTAGAGGGTATGGGGCTTGCAGGAGCCTTCGCAAGAGTGGAAGGAAAGGATCATTTGTCCTTCGTGGGGATTTGGGGTTGCTGAGTGAGGGCATGGACAACCACGGCTTTCAATTCAAACCAGAGAAGCTGCCATGCTGTTGGATTGTTCACCAAGTCTGCATGAATTTGCATGAGTGGTGGGGTCCGATTGCAGTCCACCAGCATCAGACCCAGTGCAGTACCTTTCCAAGACCAAAAGCACAGATAAAGCATCCAAAAGCCAGTTCTGGGTGGCCTTGAGAGAAGGAGATTAGAAATCCACATTTTTGACTTCCTTAATTAGACAGAAACGGTTTCCAATACATTCTTAGTGGGGATCTGCATTTCTATCTATTTGGGGGTATATATGCCAGCCCTGATTGCCCTCCAAGGCTGTACAGAAGGAGTGGCTCGGTGGCAACGAACAGCGCACGCAGCGCGATCGGCTCACAGCCAGTGCTGATGGGGTTCGATGGATCCAGTTGCCCATGAGCTGGCTGGGTGTGGAAATAGTGTGTGCGTGTGTGTCCCATAGCCTGTAACAGTCAATAAATGATTATATCATCACTATTTTTGGACAAAGGCCTTTAATGACTAACCATCATCATCATCATCATCATCATCATCATCATCATCATCATCATCATCATCATCCACTGTTACCTGGAATGGGATACACCCAACCTGGACATGCTGGGATGGGTCAAGCTTGGTCGGTCCACCGACCGACACCAGGTGGGTTGACCGTGGTCCTCAAGCGGAAGGTATCCTGGTGCCATGAGCCACAGCAAGTGCCATGCAGCCATGTTGAACGCCAGGATTCCATAATGGTTTCCCCAAGATTTGCCATGGACGGTCCCTTTCTAAGTAGCGTAAAACGGGTTCACCAGCCGGCACTCCACAGTTGCTCACAGCAGGATACATGCATCCATACACGAAATGGTAAAGCCATGCAACCATGGAGATCTTAGCAATGCGGAGTCCATTCAGCGCTTCAATTCCATTCATTGGCGCCTCATGTCGTGAACAGGTCGCACGTCACAACTCGTTTGGAAGACTAACATGGGGCCCCGAAAACCTCGTCTTGCAGGGTGCCATGGAAAATCACCAGGTCCATGTGACGTTTTCCGGAGTTTGGGACCTATGACGTTTGCGACTTTCCTTTGAGACCCGGAAGCCACTGCCCTGTCGGCTCTACCCGGTCGCTACGAGGTCCAGCGA